TGCCCGCTCGCTCCAGCACTTCCGCCTCCTGGCATGCTGCGGCCTCCCGCGTCGAGGGAAGGCGGAGGGCCCTCCCGCCCTCGAGGCCCTGGCTGCCGCCGGTTCCGCCAGCCTCCGTCGCCGCCACCACTCCTTCCTGGCCCGAGCAAGGGCAGCACAGCACCCCACGGCACCTTGACCACTCGCGCCATCCTGGGCCTGAAGACGCGCTCCAGACTGTCCTAGAGGGATAAGCCGCTCACTCCCCTGGTTCTGAATAAAGAGCCTTTACGTTAAACGGGTTTCCTGGGGTTTCTCCTGCTGAGCACTGTCAGCTCCTCGGGCCTGTCCTTCAGGCAAAAACGGGACCCAAAGGGAACGTGCGCTGAGCGCGTGTGTCGTTGGGGCTTCTGTGCTGATTGAAACTTGAGGGCCCGCTCCCAGGGGCTAGGACGGCAGGCTTCTGAGGTCCCGGCTCATCGGCCCGGGCGCCGCCGCCTTCCCTGTGGCCGTGTGGGGGAGAGGCAGACACCTCTCTGGGGGGCTGCTCAGCTCCTCCTGGCAGGGCTTCCCGTGTGGCCCTTGGCTTCCTCTTGTCGTCGCAGTGCCGAAGGTATTCGCTGCAAGTCCCGAGGTTTATGTGGTGAATTCCAGTGATGCGTTTCGTTTGATTTTCAGGCTTTTGCAAAGTACTTGGGCGTGTGTGACCTCACTGGGTTCTCGCAAAATCGGAAGCAGGCAGTGCGCGTCACCTCTGTTTCACAAGCAAGAAACCCAGGGAGGCTGTGGCTTGTCCGAGGCCTCGGCCAGGGCGGCGCCGGGCCCAGCCCAGGTCTCTTGACCCAGAAGTGAAGCAGACCGGGGCTCCTTGCGGCTGGGAAGCCGGCAGGGCCCGTTCTCCAGCCTGCTGTGGGCTGCAGAGGCGCCCTCTGGTGGAGGCCTTCGGGACGGGCTCGCACGGTGCGTGGGGGCCGTCCCTGCCTTTTCCTGGCCACCACCTGTCCCCAGAAGCCTGCCCCTCGCCAGTGTCCGCCTGCCGCCCTCCTCGTGCCGTCTGCCCCCTGTTCAGTAGCCGGTGAGTGTCTGTCAGGCGCTGGTGCGGGGAGACGAGAGAGAGGAGCGTCCCAGACCTCGAGGAGTGTGTGGCCTGGAGAGGAAGACACCTGTAGGCAAGCAGTGGCGAGGCGGACTGGCGGCAAGGTGGCAGGCGGCCCCAGGGCCCTCGGAGGACAGGGTGCCCAGCCTGGCCTTGGGTTCCGGGCTGCTCTCGGGGGAGACGTGCCGGGTGACACGCGGAAGGCGGAGGACCCATGGGGGGGACGTTCCGGGTAAGACCTGCAGGAGAAGAGGAGGAAGCGTCTGGGGTCTGAGTGCAGAGGGCTTGGAGGGACAAGCCACTGGGCCACTCGAGGCGTCTGCAGAGAGCCGCGCAGGCCCTGGAAGCCGAGCTCAGGAGCTTGGGGCTGGCCCTGCAGGCCACGCAGAAGCTTGATGGGGCTGAAGCAGAGGCCTAGCATGATCAGCTTTACAGCGATCGCTCAGGCTCTGTGGAGGAAGGATCCAGGAGCAAGCTTGGACAGGCAGGCGGCCTGACCAGAGACTGCGGGAGTCCAGGCAGACGCGCTCTGGTCTGGCCCTGAACTGCGGCAGGAGACGGCCGTGTCAGGGCCGTGGAAGCACGAGGGTTCAGTCCCAGAGTAGCCCCTGTCCTCCCCACCTGCCAGCCCTTCACGCACCTGTGGAGAATCGTGTCTGAAGGCACGTGAAAGGCCCTGTCAAGCCAGCAGGGTCTCCCACCCAAGCCCTATGTCAGGAGGCCACACTGCCCCTCCAATTTCGCACGGAGAGCAGAGATGTTAATCGCGCTGACGCCACAGTTATTAGCACGTTCTCCCGTACACAATGGAAGTCTGCCCCTCAAAAACATCCACCCACCACCCTCATTATGCCCCGCGTCACTCATGCCTTCAGTGATTAGTGAGTGAATGGAGTTCACCTCGCCTGTGGGGTAAGACAAGCTGATGTTATCATCGCAGGGGGCACTTTGGAAGGTTTGCAAATGTCACTCACTGGGGAACAAGGGCCGGCACTCGGCCGGTCCCTGCAGCTGGCTTCACAGAGCCACTGTCTAGCCTGGCATGCCACACGCAGGAGGCCCGGTGGCCGGAAGGCTCACGTTTCAGGAGCAGGATGAGGGGTTGCTTCCGAGAAACGGGAGCCCCTGACGGCCACCTCATCTCCAACGCTGTTCGCAAGAACACGTGCCCCCGGGCTCCAAGCGCCGCACAAGGCACTTGGCTTGGAGTTGGCGCAGAACACGAGGTTCTGAAGGTCTTTTGGCCCAGGCGCTGGAGGGGACAGGGAGGGCAACGGGATGGGGCTGAGCAGTCGCGAGCGCCAATGGCAGGATGCCGGGTCATTCCACGGGGCCCAGCCTGCCCAGGAGAATGGCAGGTGTTTGGGGACAAGAGCAACGTGAGGGAAACATCCTCATAACAGCACAAGGCAGCAGGTAGCCACGTACCGGATTATACAGGCCCGACACGGGGGCACAGAGCAGAAAATGCAGGTCAGGGTTAAAGAAGAGGGTGGCCTGGATGAATCGATTTTAAACATACTTTCATAAAAGTCAAAAAGTTACATCATGCTAATCTTATAAAATTTAGAAAACAATTTAAAAAATGCCTCAATACCATTACCCAGAGAAGTTTGTGTTTTGATGTGTTTTTCTTTCTTTTTTTTTTTTTTGAGTTGGAGTCTCACTCCGTCGCCCAGACTGGAGTGCAGTGGCCGCTCCCGGCCACCGCAGCCTCGCCTGCTGGTCTCCGGCGATCCTTCTGCCTCAGCCTTCCGAGTAGCCGGAATTACGGGCACGCGCTACCAAGCCCGGCTGATTTTTTGATTTATTGTAGAGATGAGGTCTCGCCAAGTTGCCCAGGCGGGTCTTGAACCTGCGGGCTCAGGAAATCCATTCACCTCGGCGTCCCAAGGCGTGGGATTACAGGCTGAGCCACCGAGCCCGGCTTTGATGTGTTTTTCTATGCATGATTTCTTCTTTAATTTTCAAAAATGAGACCTGGCTATAACCAGCTTCTTCCCCATGACAGAATACAGTGTCCATCTTTCTGACATTCGACTTTCTTCCACCCCGTCCGTGCAAACGGCTGCGCTCTTCACTGAACGATGACAAGAGCTTGCTCCATCAGTCCCCTGCGGCACCCTTAGAGTGATGTGGTACAGAGAGGTCATTAGGGCCGGCGGAGGCCGAGCCACTCAGAGGAGAGTAGATAGGTGTGGAGCGGCGGGCCAGGGTGGGGAGATGGTTTGGCACCCCCTCCCAGCAGGCCCTGTAGACCTCGGCCTGGAGACCCGGGTGCAGGATGGGGACAGAGGGTGAGCCTGGCAGCAAGAAGGATGGAGCTGGGAGGCTTCTTAGAAGTCATCTTTAGCCGAGCGCGGTGGCCCGCACCTGGAACGCCGGCACTTTGGGAGGCGGAGATGAGGGATTGCCTGAGCCCACAGGTTTGAGACCAGCCCGGACAACTTGGGGAGACCTCATCTCCACAATAAATCAAAAAATTAGCCGGGCGTGGCGGCACGTGCCTGTCGATCCAGCTACTTGAAAGGCTGAGGCAGAAGGATCACTGGAACCCAGCAGGTTGAGGCTGTGGTGGCCGTGAGCGTGCCACTGCACTCCAGCCTGGGTGACAGAGTGAGACTCCAACTCAAAAAAAAAAAAGTCAGCTTTTAGCCAGGCATAGTGACTCACACCTGTAGACCCAGCTAGTCTACTCAGGAGGCTGAGGTAGGAGGATCGCTTGAACTCAGGAGCTCAAGACCCACATGGGCAACATAGCGAGATCCTATCTCTCTCTTAAAAAAAAAAAAAAAATTATCCAGACATGGTGGCACACACCAGTGGTCCCAGTTACTCAGGAGGCTAAGGCAGGAGGATCGCTTGAGCCCAGCTTGAGGCTACAGTGAGCTATGATTGCATCGCTGCACCTCATTCTGGGTGACCCTGTCTCAAAAAAAAAGTCGTTTTTTCCCACGTCCTTCCTGGAACTTGACTTCTCTGTACAGCACCCCGGCAGGGCTCCCAGCCCCCGCTCCTGTGTTTGGGGGCGCCAGCCGTGTGAGGCCTTCTGTGTCATTGCTGCAAAGCTCCGTCTGGCAGAAAGCTCTTGGTCCTGCTTCCACTCCGGCATCACAACAGTCCTTTGGAGCAAGGACCATGTTCCCTGTCACGACCCGCAGGATCCTCCGACATTCGGCCCCCGCTTCTCTCCCACCCAAGCCCGCCACATGGAGATGAGGCGTTAAACACCAACTATGCGCTTCCAGATCTAACGCCTTCCTACTGTGGTCCACTCACTGAGAAGGCGGGCAGGCGCTCTTCTGTCTACACCATCAGACACTTCACGCTGCTGGTGCTTAGGCTGGATGTCGGCATGGTATTTTGTTAATTCCTGTGCTCTTAGACTGCGGAGCGGGGAACAAACCCCATGGGGCAGCATACGGCGTTCCATGCGCTGTCAGAACTCCTTGAATATAACCTTGACCACGCCGCCACCACCCCTGCCACCGCATTCACACGCCGGAAAATAGAGGAGTGTGCCACACATGGAGGCACTCACGACCCCCAGGCCCTCCACCGAGGACGGTGCCTTCTGCTTTCTCCAGCAACACAGCCTCAGACTAATCCTTCTCTCTGCCAGTTCTTCAAAAGGGTGGAGCTGGCTGTCATGTCCCCCAGGGAGGGGTCAGCGCGTGGAGTGCCTGCCAGCGAGAGAGAGGAGTCCAGATGTGACGGGGCAGCTCCTGGGTTCCTCTCGTGGTTCTCAAGCAGGGAGGGACACGACTATGGTGATGTCTGAGGACCTGCAGCCCAGACACAGGAGCTGGGGGGCTGTTATCCTCCAGGCAGAGATGCCTCGAGAAGAATTGTTACAAGATGCTGAAATGCACTGGGTGGTGGTTCTGGGCCTGTCCAATCCGCA